TCACCGAGTGTCTGCTCTGCACTTCCCACAGCTAACGTGCCCCTTTGGCTGTCCCGTCGCCTGTGCCTCTGACCCTGCTCTCAAGTACCTCTGGGCTTCTCACACTCCCCCATCCCAGCACATCAATCCTTGGTCCTGGGAAACCACCCACTTTCTTCCTTGCCCCTGCCAATGGGACACTACCAGCCTCAGGCAGAGACTTCCAGCAGTCACCAGTTCCTGGAGAAGAGTGCAGTGTCCCCTCTGCAGGGTCCGAGCACTCCAGGGACTCTGAGCTCCATCCAGCCCACCCGCTCCTCCCATCCTGGCAAGCCCAGGAACATCCACAGCTCCCAGGCATCTGCCCACGGCTCCAGCTCACTGACTTGAGCCTCCACGACGCAGACACACACTCAGAGCCAAAGGAAGGTAATGCTCATGGCCTTCAGCCTGGTTTCCAGTGCCAGGGAACCGCTGGCCTCTTGCCTGCAGCCCCATGGGTTTGGTGCAGGGCTGGGTAATCGCTGCTGTCCGTGCTGCCTGGCGCCGTAGCCAGCTCCTGTCCGGTGCCCAGAGGCACCGCCGCACCTTGTGCTGCTCATGGTAAGGGATGCTCCGGCCTTGAACGAAGAGGGTGCCCGCAGTGGCAGGATCCGAGCCCACGCTGGCCGGCAGCTGGGCCTCGGCTCTGGAGTTGTGTAGGAACCACTGTCCCGAAGGCTGGACTGGACCTCCCGGGAGGGAGAGTGGGATGACTGTCCTTAAGTGGTGGGTGTCCTGGCCCCCAACTGCATCCCAGAGAAACTGCGGCTGGAAGGAAAGAAAGTGGCTGTGGCTTAGCTCTGGAGGCCTTGGCAAGAGACAGGAAGGAAAAGTCTATGGTCATCCACAGGCGCTCACTAAAGCATCACCCTGCGCTTTCTCCCCAGGCATGCCACAGTCACTGTCCCAAATTCACATCATCTGAGGGGTCGTGGCAGCTGCCTGCCTCATCTCCGTGCCCCAGTGCTGAGAGTCCCATCCCTGCCCGTAACACTGGGCTGAGCTGGAGCCGGGTTTGTGGAAAGATATCCCAGAGCAGGCTGGGAAGACTCAGCGATGAAGAACCTGACCCACCCCCAGATAATCCTTCACTGCTGAAAAAATTGTCCAGACTTTAGGCAGAGTTTGTGTTTTGGGTTCCATTCTGCTTTGTCTGGTAGAGGAAAAGGCAGCTACCATCAGTTCTTACAGATCAAACCCCATCTTAGACTTCGTTTGTTAAACTGAACCGACTATTTCCAATTTCTTGTAAGGTACTAGAAGACTCCTAGGTCCTGCAACTCTGGTGCCTTGACTTTGTCAGCATCCTTCTGTCACCCTTCCAGCCAGGAGTAGGAGGCCTTTCTGGAATCATATGGTGCCACTGGAAGAGGCAATGGACCTCGCCAGATTTTTCATTAATTGCAGGTCCAGAACTAGCCCTTCCCCGACACAGGAGGTGACAGCCACCGCCAGTGCCCCAGAACAGCCCTTGTAGCCTAATGGAGCCCTCAGACGAGGGACTACGGGCTTCCTCCTCGCCTGGGTTTAGACCAGTAGCCTGGTTTGGGAGTTGGCGTGGTAGCCAAGACTCAGTTTGAGACAACCACGCAGATCTCCTTTAACTCTAGGTCCAAACCGCCGTTCCCCGGGTGCAATCCTCTGCGAGGCCCAGCTTGCTTCAGCTGCACACCTCGAGCCAGCCTGGGATGCGGGAGCAGTGATGCTGGGGGGTACACCGTACCGTGCTCTTCCAGAGCCAGGATGGCTGAAGGGGGAGCCCCAGACCGAGGGCGCAGCCCTACGGGTTCAGGTATGCTAACTTAGCATCAGAATGCGTGCGGTGGGCTCATCACCTTCCCCGTGTGGGGAATGATGTAATGTAGAAGGCAAGATGTTTAGGGACAGAGGCATTGTTTGCAGTGCAGAATTCACCTAAAGACTTTTTTTTTTTAGACATCCTTACGCTTCCCTTCAGTCCTTCTTTGCTGTGTGCGCTCCTCTACCACACTCGTAGCACATTACTGCTCCTAGCCTACCCAGGAATTAATTTTACTCAGCTCGGCGAATCACACTACTGCCCTGAAGCAGCAGCTCACGCTAAGCTGTGTGGTGGGGACAGCAGTGTCCAAAGGGCAACATCGTTGTGGTCTGTTCTTTGGAATTCCGGGGAGAGGGATCTTCTGTGGAAGGGTGCTCAGGGGCTCTACACCCCCAGCAAACCCCTTTGGAAAGGGACAAAGTCAGTAACTGTAGGAAAACCCACAGACCCAGACGTTACGCTGGATCTCGTTTAACCGAGCCACACCAGAGATGCTCAATGCCCGCGATTCATTCCTCACGATCCTCCCGCAGACGGCTGTCTCCTATGTCAGCCTTGCAGGACAGATGTGGGCAATCTTCCGTTACCTGGCTCTCGGAGGTAATGGTGCAGGATCTCAGGGTGTCGGCCGGTCTGTCGGTTGTGGGGAGCAGCTGGGAGAGCTGATCGATGATACCCAGGCCTCGGATAAGGTTCTCACGCTGCAGAAGAGCATTTACTCTTTTCTCCTCTTCATATTCCACAATATGCTGGGGTTGCATAGAGTCGTACTGCATGCACTGTACCTTAGGGAAGACAGACCTGAGTTACAGCAAAGTTGAAGCTGTAGTAATACTCAAGAGAGACAAAGCCACAGACTGCTCTGAGCCGTAAGGAGAATTACAGACTTTGGGGCAGAGGGGGACAGAGATCCCAGTGGGAGCCACAACAGGGAAGGGACAACGCTGGTGCTTGCAAGTACCTCCCGGCACAAGCTGTCAACCCTCCGGACTTCATGAAGGGGAGTCAAACCTCGTAGTTCTGTTCCTTCGGAGACACCCACGGCCCAGCACTGTTCCCAGAGCCACGTTATTGCCTTTGAGAGCCCCATGGACAACCACTGACAAGAGCAAGGTACCTTTCTGTCCCACATCCAGGTGCTTCTATAGGTGAGGCGGGTCGTAGGAGCTGTGGTTTTATTATGGATCTGGGATTTGTCCCCAGCTGACTCTCCATGCAGGTCTTCTTTCCTCTTTGATTTCTTCTTCCTGGTAATAGCTTCCAACTTTTCTTTTTTCAGGCGAATTTCCTCCAGTTGCTGCCTGTCGTGGAACAGTAGTCTTAGTCACTGGTTCAGTAAGAGCCATAATGGCAAAAGGCTATCATGAAGCCTTCAACCTGAGGACGTTCTACTGCAGTCAGAAGTTCTGTAGTGAATAGACCGTGATAGAAGTGTGCCAAGAAATGGGCCAGGAGCGCTTTTCAAAGAGACCGCTGTAAGAAATGCCCTTGAATTAGGCTGTGCCTGCCAGAAGGGTGGAGGACACTTGTGACGTGTTGCCTCCAGCATCCGAAAGTCAATGGAATATTGCGTTTGCCTCTCGAGGGTACATGCGAAAGGAACTTGCTTTGCTATGGCGACACAGCACAGGCAGACTCCTTCCCTTCCAGCTCTCACCGCTCACTTACACCTGTTAAGCAGCAGAATTGCTCTCAAGAAGGGATCAGAACCAAGCGGTCTCTATGCCACCCCCACGAAGAGCGGGTTTTCCGCAGGAGCGGCGTACCTGGCACACTCCTCTCGTGCTTTGGATGACACCGTGTCCTGGAAGAGGGAGCCACTCTGCTTGAAAAATGGCTCATACTTCTCTGTTCCACGTGCCGGATAAATGCGCCGGTAACTGCCCAGGTGAGAGTTCTCGTACTTCTCTGCCTCAGCCAGCCAGGCAGCCTGGTTTCTCTCTAATTCCTCGCGTCTGCAAACCGGGAGAGAGCACAGGCAGGGAGCTGCGACAGGAGGGTCCAGGTGCTGTGCTGGCTGGGGGACAAGGACCTAGCTAGCACTTTCCCCATTTGGGTCCCTGTTTCACATGGGTGCGCTGCCAGGGAACCAACGCAACCCACACCTCTTCATCCTCTACCTGTAGGGTGGTGGTGAAGCATTTCCAGATCTTTCCCCTGCCGCCCAGGCTCGCACCCTGCCCCTTGGCCTCTTCACCCAACTATCCCGGTTAGAAGAGAAGTTCAGTTAAAATGTGCCTATTGAAGCCCTATCTGCCACGCTGCGTGCTGCTGGGAGCTTTCCTCGCTAGCGGGGAGCTCGGAGCGGCCGAGGCTGCAGCGGCAGGCAGAGCGCAGGGCTAACGCGTGCTCAGCATCTCCAGCCCGGACTTATCTCAGGTCTGCTAACTGCAACGGGAGCTGGAGGGAGTTCCTGCCTGAGTTCCTGCCTCGCCTCGCATGGCAGGAAAAGCCCGGGCAGCAGGCTCATCTAACACGGCCTCAGGAGAGGACGTGCAGACGGAGCAGTGGGGAGGAAACCCTCAGCCCTGGGAAAGCCACCCTGCTCTGGGGAAGGGCCCCGTGTCCCCAGGTGCTCTCGGTCCCTGAAGCAGTGCTGCAGCCTGTGCTGCGAGCATCCCTGTGAGCCCAGGGATGTTGGCACTGCCCGTCGGCACTGAAGGACGTGATAAGCAGGCGCAGCTCGATGGGGATGACTGTACAGGGCCCAGAGCACCAGGCGTCTCAGATCTCCTAGCACCCAGAGATGAGCCCTGGCTCTTCCGTGCAGGATGCAGATGGCTTGGGAGATCTCTTCTCCGAGGCTGTATAGTGCCACTGGCTCTGGGAGCTTTAATTTGGAGACAGCCAGCCTTGGGTTTATGCTGCTCTACCATGCCCCATCTTTTCTCACTGGGGACCTGCAGCACTATGGGAAAGAGCAATACCTGGCTGCACGGGGAATCTGATGGGCCTGGAGGAGCCGTTCCTTTGCCCGCTGTTTGTCTTCCTCCTGCACCTTCCTTTTGTTACAGGCATGCACGTTTATCAGGTTGATGGTATCACAGAGAAGAGCATCCTTCACCTCATGGTCTAGGCGAGAGTCTGTGTTGAAGCTGGGAGAGTGGTTCACCTGCCAAAACAAGCAGCTAGCCTGACCTGGCAGCTCCCAGCAAGCGCGGCCAGCAGCCAGCTCGCTGGCCCCAGTCTGTCCCACCGCACGCTTCCCACGGGTGCTCTTCCCTGTAGCAGCGACAGAAAGCAGGAGGCTGCACGCAGCGGCTGGTCCTGTCCTTCTGGAGCGTAATGCCCATCCGCCCTGCAGGTCATTCAGATCCCACACCCCGCAGGACTACAGGTGGGGGGCAGCTGTCATAAATTCAGGGTGCTGTTACAGGTCAAGGAATCCTAAGGTTCAGGAAACTCCCTGCTGTTAGAGAGGATGTACAGGGAGTGGGCTCCTGGATCCCGCTTAGCTTACAGCAGGTCGCTTGGCCACTTGTCTTCATAGCCTGTTTAATTTTGTGAGCGAGGTGGCCCTTTTTAATCAAACGAGTTCTGTTCACCCCACCACCCCCTGTTCTGGAGCCTCCCCCAGACAAGCCAGCTCTCGGCTATCTGCTGCTTCCAGAGTTGCTTCAACACAGCAGGAGATTCCTTCCTCACCTCCAGCAGCCACACCTTCATCTTTCTGTCTAGCAGAATATCAAAACCCAGTATCTCGAAGCAGGCACAGCCAGTAGCGTGGTTGGGAAAGCAGGTTTGGTAATTGTGCTTCACAACAGGGTGAGCCGAAATAAGAGTCTTTATAATAATGTCTTCAATATCTTCCCACACTTTTGTTGTGTTGTAGCTGTTATTGGTCATCCAGGCATTCAGGGTGGACAGTTTCCTGTGTGGAGGAGAGAAGATGGCAAGAGCTGACCTGTGATACCATGTTTGCCCCAAGAAAGATGGAAGTAAACCAGCGTCCCAGATGCAGCTTTCCTGCAGGATATGCACAGGGCATTGCGGTACCTGGACAAGACAATACCTCTTACTGCCCATCGTGTCATCCTGGATGAAGTTTTCATTACACTTGTTGACAGCATAATTGGTCAAATGCATGCAGATATCATCCTGAGAGAGGAACCGCAAGAGACTTTCATTTACTCTTAACCACAGAGCGTAAATAGAAACAGCCCCGCTAGCACTAATCTAGCCACCAGCTTTGCCCACCTCTGTCTCTTCTCGGTGGTGGTGACTTGCAGCAAGGAGTTAATCGTGCTGCTGATCCCCTCTCTAGCCCAAAGTCAGAGCTAACAGAGCTCTGCCCTCTCCACGCCTCTGTCCTTATCTCTGGGGGAGAGCACGGGAGTCAGCTCCACAAATGCCATTCCAGCCGTGCCCTCACGGATAAACAAGGGACTCCTCAGGACAGAAGCTGCAGCACATTTCTGCAGATTCTTCCTCTGTTCACCCGAAGCAGAAGACCTCTCCAACACATGCACATATCGGAGTGAGGGAGGGCACATACGTCTGCAGCTCTGGGACAAGCGGGCAGGTAGCCAGAAGCCCGGGGTATCTCAGGGCAGCCGGTGCACAGCACGGCACAGCAATAGCACAGCGATCCAACACTACGGTCCATCTTCTGTTGGGATTTTACAGGTCACAGACCCCTGCTTGGAGATGGGCACGGCCATAGTCTGCACCTTGCTCTCCCAGTTCCCCTCCCTGTCTCTCCTAGGCTGTTCCAGTACCACCAGATAATCCCCAGGTCCCTTTTTTCTGCTGAAGCACAGACAGACAAGGAAAGAAGCAGTAGGAGGGTTGCCCAGAGGCACCGTGGGGTCTCCATCCTTGCAGGTTTTCAACACCTGACTGGGTGAAACCCCAGGAAACCAGATCAGAATTTACTGTTGACCCAGTTTTGAGCAGAAGGTTGGACTCGAGACCTTCCAAAGTTCCTTCCAACTCCATGATTCTGTGATAATGCCAGTAAACAACCCAAATGTGGGGCCTGGGAGCAGATCTACTTCAGACACTCCTGAAATACCTCCTGTGAGGAGGAGGAGGAGGAACAGAGGGAGGGGAGAACAGGAAAGACGAAAGCTGGGTCCCATGAAACCCACCAGTGCCTGCCTTTTCAAGGTCTGGAATACCCCCGGGACAAATTAGGGACTTACACCTACAGATGCTATGCGAGTTTTTTTGAAACTTCCCTTTTTTACCCGGTTCCTGCTGCTGGGATCGATGTACCTCATGGTGGCAAACCGGGCCAGACCCTCCTTGTAGACAAAAATCCTCAGTGGGTCACAAGATGTGACCAGCACATAGATACGCATGTCAAATTTAAAGCCATCAATAAGGAAAGGCTGCGAGAAAAAAGGCAGGAGCAAGCATGAGATAAACATTGCTAGGCGTGCCGCCGAGTCCTTGAGGCTGGCTGCTCTACCTGCCCTGCTCCTGGGCAGCTCAGCAGCGAGGAGAAAGGCAAGCTTTCGCCGTGCCTCCGCTGCGCTGCAGGCACCCCGCTGCCCCTGGCAGATCCAGGAAGACGCAGGGCAAAGGAGGATGCGGGATGCGGGAAGAGCTAGGAGGCTGCAGTCCTCCACCTCTAGTTCGAGACTGTCCCCGTTACCTTAGAGATATACTGCTGACAGATCATGTGCTCTCCACGTTTGATCTCCTCTGGGTGATGTGTTATGAAGATACCTCTCCCTTGGCAGCTGCTCTCTGGCTTGCAGATGAATATTTTGTTTTTCCTTGCGCAACTGTAGGCCTGGAAATCTCCATAGCTGTGCAAGGAAGGGGTTACCGTTTCAAGCTGCAAAAACCCAGCCTCTGAACTCTCTCGTAACAGTTAGGTGCTCAAACTGTGGTGCTGCGGGCCAGTACAGACCGATCCTCTGCAGCAGAGGAATAGCACACCTATTTCTGATCCACATGAGTTACAGACTGGTCCTTGTGCGACCTGACAGAGCTCTCCTGGTTCCACCTTTTACTTGCACACATCTCCACCTCTACCGGGAGGGTCGTAGGAAGCGGTCACCACTGTGCGTACAGGAGCTGGATTTGGCTCTGCTGCCGCAGAGAGAGCAGGAGAAAATGAACAAGCCCTGGCTGCAAAGGAGGAGGAGATCGCAAGTCTTTACGTCCCCTTTTGTGCCAGCCCATCAGCAAGCAGGCAGGAGGCCGCAGCCGGAGCGCTCCAAGCAGGGCGCAGAGGCTCGCGAGCCCAGCGTGCCCATCGCGTTACACGGCTGATCTTGAAGAGCAGCCCCAGTGGGAACTTGGTGCTTTGGAGATTCAAGCCCATATGCCAATTAGGTATTTTGTTGTAGACAGAGAAGCACCGTCTCTCTAGTGGGCACCACATTTTAGAGGCAAACGGGACAAATCCCAGAAAACAGTGCCAAGAGCAGTCTGAGTCCAGGAAAGGCAGCCTGAAAGAAAGACGAGAGAACTAGGTCTGTCTTCTCCAGAAATGGGAAGACGGAGAGGACACACGGCAATAGCCTTCCTGGACATGACACGCTATTAGCAAAACACAGCAAACCACTCTTCTCCAAGGCCGGTGCAAACAGGAGACGTACTAAGTGCTGATATTTCAGCAGAGATACTTAGGTCAGATGCTAAGAAAATCATTCTAACCATGAGGAGAGTTCAGGAACAGAGCAGGTGGCGGGAGCCCTACTTCCAGGTCTTCAGGAAATGGTAAGAATAAAGTCTAAGAATGGGTATCTTGTCTCCTTACAGCCACCCAAACCTCAAGTGCTCTTTGGTCTCTTTCAGCTACTTATATGATCAGAGGAGCCAGGCCTTCTGCCCCAAAGCTTGAGTAACCCGGTGATGGTTTACATCTAACCATATACGTATGAGCGTAGTGACCTGCGCGCTCCTACCATCCTCTGCCATCAGTGGGCTCTACTGCAGCAGAGCGCAGAGGTGCAGGGGGCTGTGAAGAGAGCCCTCGCTGTCGGTGGGGTGGAACCACCTCGTGCCCCTGTCCCGTGCCCCTCCTGGGTGAGCGATGGGCACCGACCCAGCCGGCGGGGGAAGGCAGCCTGCCACGCTGCCCCGCAGCCGGCTCTCCCGTTCACCCTGTGCTGCCGAGAGACCTTCCACCGAAACACAGATTTACACTTCCCACTCGCCCACTGCCCTGTGGCTTTCCAGGTGGGTCCCTCTCCCCAGGTTCAGCCCTTCGGCACGCAGTCTGCCCAGCAGCAAGGCACACATCGCAGAGGATGCCATTCCACGGGCTAATTCAGTCTAACGGGAATTAAAGATGTGTGAAACTAGAAACGTGTCTCAACACTCCCCTGTTCAGTTCCAGGGAAGGTTAGGAAGGCCCAGACCAAGACATGAGATCTCGGAGAGGCCCCCCCATCCCAGCCTGGCTGTCAAGCCATAAAGGCCTCCACTTCCTAATTTCATACCCCTGTTCTCAGCTGCATTAACGCATATCACTCACTCAGCTGGCAGGCACCAAGTGCGGGGAAATATATTGTACTCCTTGGGGAAGAGCCTGAGCATGCGGTTAAGGTTGCGAGCCAACAAGTCCTTGCGGCAGATCTCTATCATGCCTGGAAAATGGTTGATTTTCTGAAAGAGGTGCAGAGGAAAAACAGAATCAGTAAAGGAACAGCAGGGATCCTCCTTGAGAGCCGAGGAAAGCCGGCATGTGGAGAAACCGTCACGTAGAACAGGGAGCTGGGTCGGCGGTTGCCTTGAACGTCTGCTGAAGGACGAGATTACGCTACAACTGCTTTGTCTGAACTTTACGACTGTGATTTATCTGCTCGTTCCATCTCAGCCCTGAAGCTCTCCCTCCCTAGAACATCACAGCTTCGGGAGGGGAACGGCTTGTCATCAAGAACCATTTATTTCATGCTACATTAAAGGGGTTGGCGGCTTTCCAGTTCACACTGCTAACTGCCAAAGTGCTGCTGATGGCACCGTACCAGAGACACAACAGCAGTAAAGGCTCGTGAACCTGCACCCTCTGGAACCGAAGCAGAGAAGGGAGGTCGGGTGCTAGTTTTGCACGCCTCTGTTTCATTCTGCAACACGTTGTTCCACTAACAGCCCCCGTCTCGCCCTCCTCCTTCCTGAGCTCTTCCTGCTGGGCAGCCTTTACGTGGGGGGTATTTACCTGAAAGCGCTTCATTTCCATGATGCGCTCCAGAGAGACCGAATAGTCCGTCCAACACACCGTCCACTCCTCGTTTTCTCCCGCTTCTTTCAGCCCACAGCACTGTGCTGCCCGCCGCACTGTGCCAAAGCAAGCAGATCACAATGGGCCAGGCAGAGGATATGAGTACCAGGGACCGTTAGAGCCCCAAAGTAACCAGGGATGGAGCACGCAATAAACCTCTCCAGGCTGCAATTCCACTCTCACAGATGCAAGGTATTGGCGGGACCCTTCAGGAGGTGTCAGAAACACAAGCTTCACCTGGCTAAACTCACCCCGGCCTCTGGCTGCAGGTATACTGGGAGCTATCAGCCCCCTAAGTCCACATGCCTTGGGGTCCCGGAGCACCTCCTGAACCACAGCAGGCTTCAATCCGCCATGGGTCTGACACCACACGGGCAGATTCAAGTCTTCTGAAAGTACGAGTATCTTCTTCGAAATCAAAAGCTATTTGGCAGCAGAACACACAAGCTCTGGAGCAGAGGGTCGCTGCTGGGGGTTCATGTTAGTGCCAGTTCTGGATTTGGCCTCTCACCAGGCTGGGGAGGCGATGGAGGTCAATGCACACTAGGAACCATTGCGAAACAGTTCTGGTTCCTGGGGCGCCTGCGCTGCCACACCACCTCCTGCTGCGGGTCCCATCCACCTCCCGTCACCAAACTGCCCGAGCATGGCCCTAGGCCAAACACACAGCGCCTGTCCCTCTGTATAAAGCCTGTGTTCCTTGCACAGCTGACCAGGCTGTGGCCTTCCACAACGCATATGTGGTTGCACTGCCAGAATAGTCGTTAGCAAATTGGCTAATAACATCCATCAAATGCTAGGAGTCTGTTCTTTTAAGATACAGCTTGTGGCAGCAAAAGAGCAAGACAGGAGACGGGACCAGCTCCCTGGAGCACGTCACCAGAGATGGACGGCAAAGGGACCAGTTCCAGGCACCAATCCTGCCTGTTCCATCACCAGCTTTACGTTAAACAGTTGAGCGTCATTTCCCCTCACTAAGCGTAACTGCCCCTAACTAAACCCTTCTCACCAGTTTTCGCAGATGTATGGCAAATGAAGACATACGGGGGGCGGAGGGCTTGCCCTGCTGCTGCACATTTTCTGTCTCTTTAAACCAGAGGGCACCTCAGTCCAAAGGGTGAACAGCTCTCTACTTTGTACAGGGGTCCAAGTCGCTTGCGACCAATAAACACATAAACCAAAAGCGACTGTGCAGTGGAAATTCGGTACCAGCACCCCTCCCCGGCTGCGTGGGCACCCAAAGAGCTTGCTGTTGGTGGGCTGATCCAAAGGGACACCCTGCAGCATCTCGGACTTACCGCTCTCATACTTGCAGCTGGTCAGATTGATGGAGGGAACACTGGAACTGAAAGAGATGACAGAAGAGCCGCTCAGCGAGGAACGGGGGCCCCGTCCCGGGCACAGGCGGGAGGGAGGAAGACAACGGTGTTCCTTCACCTGCAGACCCAACTTGTGCTCCACAGAACTAACGGGCAAATCTGATCCGGAGCCAACGTGGGCTCAGCGAGCCCTGAGGCAACATGGCAAAGAGAGGTCCTGAACAC